CGCGCCTTGGAATCCGACGTGTCGTTAGTTAAATATTCGTGATCTTACATGTACATGGCCATCGGAGGAGTTAGCACGAGCATGGCTATCATGCTAGCGATGGTCATCGCCTTCCCATGGACATGCTCCGCCTTGGAATACGCAGACGGACGATGCTTCAGCGATCGATGCGACTTGAATGACTTCTCTATGTGAGCGATCGTTGACAAGCCATCCTTAGTGAGACCGGGATTCAGCAACAGCTTTGAGACACGTGAAGCAATCATAGTTATCGGCATCGGATGCCTCCAGATACCAGAGAATTCGAGAAAGATAACCAGATAACAATGACAATGATACTCTGGAGTATGGATCCAGGACCTGCTTTCAATTGCTCGACCAACAAGTCTGCCTAATCTCACTCCATCTAGCCAGATTTGAAGGGAAATACTGGAAGGGTGAATTTAGACTGTCAGTGAATCAGGTGACTAAATCAGAAAGCTACCTTCCCCACTGGCTTCCATGATCCTAGTTTGGTTTGGTCCCAGCTTTCTGTCTGGAGCTAAAACCGCCAGCGGGAGATCAACGGTGTGAGGCACCACGTGCAATCGACATACCAGTTCAACTAAGCTGCTGAAAATATCCCCACTGATTCAGCCGACACTACCCGATCTCAACCGTCCGATCATGTGTCGACGAGCTCCACCATGCCCACCGTGCTGCATGTGGCTTTGAACGCCTGGTGCACTTTCACTGGTACACGTCAGATTCTTATCACTACAGTTGAATCACCCGAACTTTTTTGCCGTGGCAGCCAAACCGCCAGACCTTTCTTGCTGCGGTCAGCATTTGGGTTTCCAGCAAAACTTACTCGTAGAGGCGAAAATAGTTCGTGCTAACAGGAGAATCGGGAAACCATCCATACACCACGAAAATGGCCTTCGTTGAGCAAGGTTACAAACTTGGTTAGGTCCAAAGACGCGGAATGGTCCAGCCAAAATATTGAATGTTCAGAATAACTCCCCGTCTATGTGGACAACAAACGCATATCCTGTGAATCTGGGATGGTTCATCTCACCTGCCCGCGACCAGACCAGGACACCGTGGGCAATCGGACAGACTGCAGCCAATCAAACACGGCGGCGATTGGTGGTGTCAGTTGCGGATTGCCAGTTGAATGGAGAAGAACACAGCCTCTGAATCAGGCTGAACACCAACCATAAAAATTAATCCTCACTATGGCACAAATCGCCAAAGATCCACTTCAATATCCACTTCCTTCCGTTTATGAAATTTGTACATTGCTGGAAGGTTATACCTAAGCTGCACAAGGAAAAATGAGGGAAATTCTGCATTATGATGCGCCGTTACAACTGCATCAAACTTATGGCTACAAAATGCGGTGGTTCAAAATGAAGGCACAGCAAAAGCACGAACCTGATACAAGACTTCAGCATTCTTTGCTCCAAAGTCTCGTACTGCTGCTCGTTGCACATGCTGGTGCCCACCACACCCAAGGGAAGGCAACGGAATGCAAGGCACACAAGACATTTCTGACGAGATTGCTGGAGGACGTAGTGGACCAAGAACTTATGTGAAGCCAAATCAAAGGCACAACAAAGCAAGAGGTGAAAAACGTGGTGGGCGTCCAACAGTCGAAGTGTTAGGAAGGAGACGGGGGAGGGAGCGACGGAGTAAGGGAAGGCATAAGATGGCACCTCTCGTGTGGATGACTTGTGAAGTGAGTAAACCGCTACTGATGCAGCCTGAAGGAATGCAAGAGGGCAAGGACACCGGAGCACAGAACACGTGGAATGCAAGAGGGAGAAGAAGGCGATGTCAGTAAGGATGGAAAGGCGCTCATGGACTGGATAGAGGACACGGAAGGAAACTCACAGAAGGCCGTTCTTTGCCCTTATGCTGCACAAGGAAAGGTGACGCCAAAGGAAAAGAAACAAGCACGAGATTGCTCACCATCAAAGTCACCTTGAGCCCTGCTGCGAGGAAGTGCAGGTCGGCACCTTTTGTCCTGGCGCCAACAGAAAGCTGAGCGTCTTCCAAGGCACCCCACTGTCCCATCTCAACTCTGGCCTTGCAGTCAACCAGATTCCCTCTTACCTTGAGCCCTGCAGCAAGGAAGAGCATGTCAGCGCCTTTAGTCCTGGTGCCGAATGGGGGGTTCATCACCACTACCTCCACTGAATCACCTGCAGGGTGGGAGAGCAGAAGGCAAGACTTTCGAGTCAACTCTTAGAAAGAGCATGGCATGCCAGCGCCATTAGTCCTGATGCCAAAGGGGGGGTTCACCACCACTACCTCCACTGAATCACCTGCAGGGAGCAAGAGACGGCAGGGATTTCAGGGGCAGAGAGGGTGGGGTTGGGGAGGAGCGGGAGAAGGAAACGAGAACAACGAGTCAACAGAAGCAGCCAACCGGGAGATCGGTGCTACAGGAGGCGAGAAAGCAACAGAGAACAGCTACTGAGAGCAGCTCTTAGACAGTGGAATGTGGTGAAGAGAGTTTGCTGTGGGCTGTTGAAAAGCATGGACAAGGGGGAGGAGGGAGCCAGAAGCTTAACTAGTGAGTGGCATGTGGGGCAGTCTCGCCTGAATAAAGTCCATGTCGATCTGCATGTCCAAGTTTGCATAATGATCGACACAAAATTGCAGAATAAGTGATGCAACAGTGCGGAATGGGTGAGCCCTCGAGTGGAATGCACTGTAAAATCGAGTGAAACCCTCAATGACACACTGTGCACTGTTCAATCGTACTGTACTGCAATGCACGTACTCCTATAATTGGTCAAGAGTTGAAGCAGATTTTTTTTTTTTTTTTTTTTTTTTTTTGTATAGCACATCTGGGTATAGAGGTAGACGGCTTGCTTCAGTCTCCCAGCCAAGCCTGTACGCACCTCATACTCTTGGCAGTTAGCCTGTGCCGTGGCAATGGCCGCCTCATCCGCATCCACTCCCACCACATGCCTGCATGCACGCACACATGCACACAGGCATGGAAAAATACACATGCACACAGGCATGGAAGAATGGTGAACAAATCTGCAATTGTGCCTTCAGTGGGTTACTGAAGAGCGAGGAAAAGGACAACTTAGCCTGCAACTTAGACTGCAACTTAGCCTACAACTCTACCTGCAACTCTGCCTGCAACTCTGCCTGCAACTCTGCCTGCAAATCTGCCTGCAAATCTGCCTGCAACTCTGCCTGCAACTCTGCCTGCAAATCTGCCTGCAACTCTGCCTGCAACTCTGCCTGCAAATCTGCCTGCAAATCTGCCCGCAACTCTGCCTGCAACTCTGCCTGCAACTCTGCCTGCAACTCTGCTATGATAATCAACTCACTAAGCTCCCAGCATGGCAGCGGCAATCCCAAGGGTGCCGCACCCACAGCTTAGGTCGAGCACTTTGACTGGTTCGAGACAACAGGGCTGATGAAAGCGTGTGATTGACTCACTCTGCTCTCAGCATGGCAGCGGCAATCCCAAGGGTGCTGCACCCACAACCTAGGTCAAGTACTTTGACTGGTTCGAGACAACAGGGCTGATGAAAGCGTGTGATTGACTCACTCTGCTCCCAGCATGGCAGCGGCAATCCCAAGGGTGCCGCACCCACAACCTAGGTCGAGCACTTCGACTGGTTCGAGACAACAGGGCTGATGAAAGCGTGTGATTGACTCACTCTGCTCCCAGCATGGCAGCGGCAATCCCAAGGGTGCCGCACCCACAACCTAGGTCGAGCACTTCGACTGGTTCGAGACAACAGGGCTGATGAAAGCGTGTGATTGACTCACTCTGCTCCCAGCATGGCAGCGGCAATCCCAAGGGTGCCGCACCCACAGCCTAGGTCGAGCACTGAGCGCCCCTCCACCTCATCAAAGCGAGAGTGAATCTGTATTTAAGGAAGGGAAGAGAAACGGGGGGAGGTTCGGGGGAGGGGGGAGAGGGAGAGGAGGGAAATAGGCTGGATTGAAGCGAGATGGGTCCATTTGCGGAGGCAAAAAGAGTCCACGATTGAACCCAGACAATAGAATGGTGACGCAAGGGCTGTCCACCTTCAAACATATGCACAGTGCACACCAACCGTGAACAGTGCACATCAACCGTGAACAGTGCACACCAACCGTGAACAGTGCACATCAACCATGAACAGTTATCTGGCATGGCACGGCATCACCTCATAGAGCATCCGTGAGGCGATATGCGGTCCTGTGGGGTACTGCTCTAACTCAATCTGAGGGAGGGAAGGGGAAAAGGGAAGGTGAGGATGAGGGGAAAACGAGGGGTGAGGAGAGGCGATGTGCGGTCCAGTGGGGTACTGCTGTAACTCAATCTGAAGGAGGGAAGGGGGGAAGGAGAGAGGTAGGGACGGAGGAGAAGGGGGAGAGGAGAGGCGATATGCGGTCCAGTGGGGTACTGCTGTAACTCAGTCTGAAGGGTGGGGAAGGCGGAATGAAGATGAGAAGGGAATGCGAGCGGTGTTGGGGAGAGGAATGGTGAACCAGAAAACCTACATTGGGATTGTCGAATGAAACCTAGTACCCTGGAATTGTCGAATGAACCTAGTACCTTGGGATTGTCGAACTGCTGCACATCTCCTAGTAGCGACTCGAGCAAACCTACCTTGGGATTGTCGAGCAAAACAACCTTGTATCAGTCGGGCGAACCTATGTCGAGCAAACCCACCTTGGGATTGTCGAGCAAACCCACCTTGGGATTGTCGAACTGCTGCACATCTCCTAACAGCGACTCGAGCTGTTTCAGTTTCATCAGCGAAGGTCGAAGACTAGAGGAGATCGATGTACGAAACGCATCGACAACGCAATGCGAAGCAGAACCACGGTCTGAGAACGTACTTCGAAAAGGTATCTAGAAAGCCTGTCGCCGACACGCACAAAGCAAGATGACCATTTCTGGAGTTCCATACGCGATATAACGTACGTGGTGATCTATCCAAGGACCGCTCAAAACTGCTCTGTTAACTCACAGCAGAGTGTTGTATATATATGACTTACAATGAGTGAGTGAATTGTACAATATATAGAACGGTTTTATTGATCTGAGCTTGTTTACTAGGACTCTAATGAAGCGGTTACAGCAAGGAAAAGCCTATCACACATTTGGGACAACTAGCCTATCGGCCCCTGACACGATACGAGCTGATTGAATCACATCGCCAGTGCGAAGCTGTGCGAGAACATCCCTCCCTTTAGTCACATACCTGCATAAACACACAAGAAAAACAAAAACAAAAACAAAAAAACGGCTGCCATTGATTCCATGAACGGGAAACTGCCAGCTTTCGACTCATTGGAAACTGGATGATAAAATTCCATAAATACCAAGCTCACCCGAAGACAGAGAACTGGCCTTCGTCAAAGGCAAGGCCTCCCAATCCAGACTGCGGGTTGAGCGGCAGGGAGAAAAGGAGGCACAAGCAATGCAGAAGGGTAGGTTGCCAGGCAGAAAAACAGATCAATATTTCTGTGCTCTTATGACGAAGAAAAATCAAAATACGGTACTGTTATGGGAGCAGTAACAGTGCTACCTACCCGTCTCTTGTCGTATTTGTAGAGGAAGAACTGCGAGGGGTGGCTGAAGGAGTCGCTCTCAGGGGAGTGTGCCATGACCATAGCCCCAAACACCGACATGGGCAGCACTGGGAGCTCCCCGTCCTGTAAGGGTGAGAAAGAGAAGGTAGGGTAGGGTTTGAGAAGGACGAGAGGAAATCGCAGATTGGAAAGCGCACATCCAGGGCTTTAAACACAGACGGATTCTCCTCACCTCTACATCCCGCGGTGTGCTGTCGATGGGCTGGAAATCGCCAGCTGGCATGACCTCAAGCGGCACGTCCCGGCCTCCCAACACGCATCACCACGTACACGTTGGGAGAGTGCACCACCACGAGCACAAGTGTCTTTCATTGCAGTCCAGCGCTCACCACCCCTACGTGCACATCGGAGCCTGAAGAGCCTCAGTGTTCCTCCCTACCTGTACGCCCAGCGGCGTGCGGTAGATGGGTTGAAACTCGCCAGCTGGCACGATCTGATCTCAGGAGGCACCTCCCTCAGGCGGCAGGCAGGCCAAGCCTTGACGCAGGCATCCGTCTACCTGCGAGTTCCTCACCTGAACATCCAGCGGCGTGCGGTAGATGGGTTGGAACTCGCCAGCTGGCATGATCTCAAGGGGCACGTCCCGGCCGGCAGAGGGATCTCGAGCGTCGGATAGCACAGCCAGGTCCGTTGCCTTCACTGCCACGCCGTCATAGGCACGGCGAGATACCTAAGATGCATTTTATACATGGGAGGGAAGGAAGGGATGGTATATGGACGTGGGGGGGGGGGATCTCGAGTGTCAGATAGCACGACCAGGCCCGTTGCCTTCACTGCCACGCAGTCATAGGCCCGTCTGGAGACCCGATGATTCATGGTATTGGGTGGGAAACCAAGAAAGGAGATGCAGTAGGAGGATCTCGCGAGTCAGAAAGCACGGTCGCGAGTAGTTGTGTTACCTTCACTGCCGCTCTGCCATAGGCCCACCTGGATACCTGGTGATTGAGGTGTGAGGGTTTAAATTGAAGAGTGAGCGGACCGAAAAAAGGTTTTAGGCTTAGGGTCCACGCCTGGCACTCTCCAGTCTCGACTTTCTCTGCCACTGATTCCTCCTCTGACCCTCACTCATTGACCGACTCTCTCCCACCCTCCCTCCCACCCTCCTCCCCACCCTCACTCACGCACTCACTCTCTCACTCTCTCACTTGCTCCTTCACTTACCAGCTGTGCGAAGTTTCCGGCTGTAAGAGGAGCAGAGTAACCATCAAGCACCACCTGGGAGGGGCATGGAGGCCGGAGAAGGATGAGCCGAGAGGTTGATGAGGTGAGAGGTTGATGATGTGGGGGGTTGATGAGAGAGGGAGAGGGGGGGGGTGGGGGGAGGGTATAAGCGTTTGTTGAAGATTCCAGTTGTGTGACAGGAACAGAGTGACCATCAAGCACCACCAGCAGGGACACAGGGAAGGGAGAATGATGAGTGTGCGAGATGGGGAGTGAGGATTGTGAAGAGTGGAAAAATAAATAAAGAAAGAAAAAGAACGAAAAGAATAGCTCACGCAAATCATGGGTGTAAGCATACCTGCAGCGCGCCTGTGAGCGCAGAGGTTGCTCCGTTAACGAGGGCGAAGTAGAAGTCATCCGCTTTGAGCACTCAAAGGGGTCGTGGGAGTGGGGAAGCACAGACACATAAGAAGTAGCGAACCTGTAGCACACCCGTGAGCGCAGAGGTTGCTCCGTTATCGAGGGCGAAGTAGGAGCCATCCGCTTTGAGCACTGCAAACTCCACTGTTGCTCGCCCTGTCAGCCTGGGAGGGGTTGAGTTGAGAGGGGATAGAAGGGGGGGAAGGGAGGAAGTTGTGGGAAAAAAGAAAGGAGAAATAGTGAAGAGGGGGAGGAGAGGGAGCAACCGCAAGAACAAGAACCTAACCCACTGAGGGAGGGCTGGCAGACTGACTGGGCAGGGAGGAGGATCGTGTATAGTTAAGGGATGAGAAACAAGGCCTCAACACACCTGGGGAGGCTGGCGTATTGAGCGGGGATGAGGAACTGGAGGCCCGTGGCTTGGAGCAGAGAGAGGCTGGCAATGCTGTTGAGAGACGAGGCCAGGCGGATCGAGACACGGTCCGGGTCCTTGTCCTCGATTGCTGCTAGCAGCCCGGGGAAACCAGCCTGGACAGGGAGGAGAGAGGGTTAGGAGAGAGGGGGAGGAGAGAGGGGGAGGAATGAGCGGGGAGATGCTGGCACGTTATTGAGAGACGAGGCGAGGCGGATTGATACGCGGTCCGGGTCGTTGTCAACGATTGCTGCTAGCAGGCCAAGGAAGCCACTCTGAAAAGTGTGGGTGAGGGAGGGAAGAGCGCACAGACAAGTTTTGAGGCGCCTCAAAACTGCACAGACAACAGAAGGAGCAAGGCCAAGAGGAGCGATGAGGCGAGACGAATCCACACACGGTCTGGATCCTTGTCCTCGATGGCTGCTAGGGGGCCTGGGAAACTGCTTTGGAAGGAAGGGATTGGAAGAGAAAAGGAGAAAAGAGGAAAGAAAATAAGGGCAAGAAATGGGGCGAGGTGAATTGACCTGCCGTCAGGGCTCTTATCCTTGATTGCTGCTAGGACACCGGGAAGCCACTCTGCAGGGATGTGTTCTGTTTGTGAGAATTCTAACAAACGGAGGTGAATTGAGCTGTGGTCAGGGCTCTTGTCAAGCCACTCTGCGGTCAGGGCTCTTGTCCTCGATTGCTGCTAGGCGGCCGCGGGAACCAGCTCTGCGGGAACCCTATGGCTCGACGGAGGGGAGAAGGAGAAGCGGTCGACACGCAGTCACGGCCCTTGTCCCCTATGGCTGCTAGCCCTGGAAAACGGCTCCACAGAGAAAGCGAGCAAGAGGATATGGGGAGGGAAAGAGAAGATGGGGAAAGAGAAGCTGGGGAAAGAGAAGCTGGGGAAAGAGAAGCTGGGGAAAGAGAAGCTGGGGAAAGAGAAGCTGGGGAAAGAGAAGCTGGGGAAAGAGAAGCTGGGGAAAGAGAAGCTGGGGAAAGAGAAGCTGGGGAAAGAGAATGAGACCTGGAAGCAGGCGAGTGGGCATCCGGTCAGGGTCCTTGTCCTCTATGGCTGCTACTAGCAGGCTGGGGAAACTGTATATCCTTCCCCATGTCAGCAGCAGCAGGCACAGCATGTGCAACGCTTTTTGAGGCGCCTAAAAAATCCTTATCAGCAGCACGCACAGCATGTGCAACGCGCCTCAAGCAACGCCTCAGTACTTTAAAGTGTGTTTAACGCCTCAGTACTTTAAAGTGTGTTTAACGCCTCAGTACTTTAAAGTGTGTTTAACGCCTCAGTACTTTAAAGTGTGTTTAACGGCCACGAGGAGACGAACCTTGGAGTTAACCAGGTCGTTGTAGATGGCCTCTGCCCTCCCCTTGTCAGCCACTGGCACAGCATCTAAAATCGCTGCCTGATTGGCTTCTGCCAACTACATGGGGGTAGAAGACGGGAGGGACGAGAAGGAAGAAGAGCAAATAAAGGCACGTTGTGAAAGGGGCATGTGCCCTCCCCTTATCAGCAGCCGGCACAGCATCTAAAATCGCTGCCTGATTGGCTTCTGCCAACTACATGGGGGTAGAAGACGGGAGGGACGAGAAGGAAGAAGAGCAAATAAAGGCACGTTGTGAAAGGGGCATGTGCCCTCCCCTTATCAGCAGCCGGCACAGCATCTAAAATCGCTGCCTGGTTGGCTTCTGCCAACTGCAGGGGGGGAGAAGACGGAGGGATAAGAAGAAAGAAGACCAAGAATGGGACAAACACGAGTCGCTGAAACAAGCGGAGAAAAGGAAGAGGAAGGAGAGAAGAGGAAGGAGAGAAGAGAAAGGAGGATGGGGGGGAAGGAGAGGAAAGCAAGGAGGGAAGAAAAAGGAGGAAAGGCTGGGGGTACAAGGCGGGTGAGGAGGGTGCGGAGAGGGAGGACTGGTTAGGAAGTTGCCAGGGCGTGGGATGGAGAAGAAACACATTCAAGATTTCTTTTTTCGAGGCGCCTCAAAACTAGCAACACATTCAAGATTTCTTTTTTTGAGGCGCCTCAAAACTAGAAACACATTCAAGATTTCGTTTTTTGAGGCGCCTCAAAACTAGAAACACATTCAAGATTTCGTTTTTTGAGGCGCCTCAAAACTATAAACGCATTCAAAATTTCGTTTTTTTTTTTTAGGCGCCTCAAAACTAGAAACATATTCAAGATTTCTTTTTTTGAGGCGCCTCAAAACTAGAAACGCATTCAAGATTTCTTTCCGATTGGCTGATGTAACAGAGACGGTGGGAGAGAGAGAGAGTGTGTGTCAAGATGCATCGAGCCGCATTGGTGATTGTTCAGGCCCCTTCCGACTGGAGATTGTTCAAAGGCTATTTTTGAGGTGCCTAAAAAATAGACTCCAGCCGCAGTGGTGATTGTTCAGGCCCCTTCCTACGGGAGATTGTTACAAGGCTGAAAGAACAGAGTTTGTGTGGCACAGCACTGGGGATGGTATGAGAGAAGATTTGCGCAGGAATGACTTACGGGGCAGGGTGGGTCAGGGCGTGTTTTGTTTTTGAGAATTCTCAAAAACAAAACACATCCTAATTTGCGCAGGAATAACTATGGGGCAGGGTGGGTCAGGGCGGGGGATAGTTATAGGGAGGAGAGGATAAGGAAATGAAAGAGAGGGACCTGGGGGGAGGAGGAGACGAGGGCGGAGGGCGCGGAGGAGGAGGAGACGGGGGTTGTGGTGTGGTTGCAGGTGGGTGGGGGTGGGGGGGGGGGGAGAGGAGATCAGAACTCACCTTGACGGCCTTGGTCACATTGGCCTGCATGGTCTTGTATGGCTTCTTCTGAGGGACGTGCATGCTGCACTGCACTGCAGCCCTGGCATAGCGCACATTAACCACTTCATGGCTGGCTGCGCATGGCGCGGCGACGATCCCCTCAGCACTCACCTTGACGGCCTTGGTCACGTTGGCCTGCATTGTCTTGTACGGCTTCTTCTGAGGGATGCGCATGAGAGTCGAAATCTCCTCCAACTCATCCTGGTCGGGACGGACCGAGGAGAGGGGAGGGGGGAAGGGGGGAAGGGGGGAAACGGGGGGAGGGGGGGGGGGGGGGATGGGGGGATGCAGAAACGGTTCAGTTCGAAACACTTCGCAAGTGGAGGAGGTTCAATTTGTGACGCATTGAAACAATAAAGAGATTATAAAGAGCAGGTTTGGAACAATAAGGGGTATGAAACGAGTTCGCGGCGGCCTCATCTGGCTTTAATGAGTTTCATGAAGGTTACAACCGAACGCCGGCCTCACCTGGATCTTCCTGACCGCGTCGTTGACAACTGGCACGGCGCGGCGGAGTGCCACGTCAGCATTGCGCGGAACCTTGGTGTCCGGGGACAGCAGTATCGCTTCCGCCGGGGGAGGCTGCGCCAGGAGGGGGACGAACGCGGCTGATACTGGCGCCAGCACCTTGGGGAAGGGGAGGGGGAAGGGGAAGGGGAAGGCGTGGCGGCAAGATGGGGGAAGATTTGGTGGAAGTGTAAGAGGTAGAAAGACGGGGAAAGCCAAGGGAATGTCACCAGTCAACTCCTCGGGAATCCGTTGGAAATACATACCCAGACGATTTTCCAGATGCTTAAAACGCGCTTTCACACATAAGCGTTTGAACGTGTGTCTCGCACCTGGATAGCAGCTAGCACCGCGGCGACGGCCTTCCCTGCCACCGTTGATGCCACGCTGGACGCATCGGACGGCTCTGCAGATGAGGAGGGCTGTGCAGTGGAAAAAAAAAAAAAAAAAAAAACGGAAAATTAAGGAAATTTCCGACAAGTGCCGATCTTGTCGTAAGGGAGCAAAATATCGAGAAAATGTTGTTCAGGGAAGCTCGAGAAAAGCTGTCAAGCATTGACATAGTAGGTAAGGCGTCGATAATGAGAGTAAGACGACAAGTACCTTTCCGCCAGCCTGGCCTGCAACGGCTGGGCGACAGCGTTCAAGCCATTATGTCTGTCTATGGCTTTCTATGGCTGTGTATGGCTGTTGACGAAATACCTTTCCGCTCGCCCTGGCCTGCGACGGCTGGCGGTCAGCGTTCAGGCCATTGCGACCGACTATGGCTGTCTAAGGCTGTTTGACGGTATACCTTTCCGCTCGCCCTGGCCTGCAACGGCTTGGCGACAGCGTTCACGCCATTATGACGGCGCTGCTTCCACAGAGCAGCTGCGCCGAGCAGCATGGATAGAATAGGAAAGGCGTTGATAATGAGAGATGGACGACAAGTACCTTTCCGCTCGCCCTGGCGTGCACTGGCTGGCGGACAGCGTTCGCGCCATTGTGACGGCACTGCTTCCGCAGAGCAGCCACGCCGAGCGCGCCGTTTCGCACGCCCGCGCTGCTTAGCGCCAGCCTCTGCTGCGCTCCGGCGTCATTCCCCCTCCGCGAGAGCGCGAGGCTTGCGGAAACGCTAGGCGCGGAGCAGAAGGCCACGGTCGCCATGGCTGGGAGGTAGACCGTGGTTGGTGGAGGAATGAGAATGTTAAGGAGCACGCTTCGTCAACCTCAAGATAGGAGTATTTCCTGGGCAAAGCTTTTGCATGCCTCGGGGGTGTCTCCTAGGTCCTACCCGAAATTACTAGCTACAAGTGATTCACTTCAACTGGGAAGAGTAACACGTTGGAGAAATTTTGTAACACTCGAATAAAACTCCACTGTTAATGCTAGACCCGATTACACATCAGATCCTACCACTGTTTACAGTTATTGATGAAACTACATATGAAACGCGAAACGAGCAGATTTGAAAATACGGCCCAAGCTCCAACAATCCACGAATTTAGATTTGTTGAAGCCTATCCATGCGATTAGTGCTGGGCTCAACTAACCAGGTTACCACACAGACGAAATTGCTCAGGAAGATGCCAGCCACGCAAACAGATCCTCTCACCTCACGACAATTCGCCACCTGTGCATACATTGCTGGCTCGCGTGTCGTCTGACGATGGAGTGACGTTGGTTCGAAGGAATTAGCATCTGATCTGAAAAGCTTGCTACGTGGTGGCACTAAGGAACACTAGCCTGAGTACACCAATATTCCTCTTGTACCTAACATCTATAAAATAATATCCACGAGATATTTGGTCAATGCGCTTTCTAGACCAACTAGAGTGAACAAAACTTACAGAAGCGACACAAAATGGTTGAACAGCTCAGCTGCAGGCTCACTGCCCGAACCAGGCCAAGGGCCTGTCATCCTTTGGAGCATATCCCAATCGCTGGGTCCTGGCGAAGCGTGTACAATGTCCATCCATAGCATTATCTCCATGCTAAGCCTTGCCATCAACGGCACATCCACCAGCCGCTGCTTCGCCAAATCCTCCCAAGCTCGATCCGCCGCATTCTCCTGTTTCGACCGCAACAAAGGAGACGTCGTCCGGGAAGCAGAGCCCGATTTGCGGGAGCCAGGCGATCGGCTTGACATTGAAGGGACGGGAGTCGGAGAAGACCCAGGCATTTGCACTGGAGATGAGTTTTCCCCGCCTCTCATAGCTCCCTTCCCTTGTCCCTCCACACTTTCCACTTCACTACTCTGACTCTCCGCCCTCTTTTCCCTGCCCTCCCATTCGCTGCCATCCCCGGCATCCTTGTTAGAAGCTGCTCCAGTAGAGCTAGAAGCTTTTAGGAAGGTATGGAGCCGGTCCACGAAAGATGCAAAGAGCAGCATTGCCCGAAGTGCTGGTGGTGGTGGCGGCTCTGAAGCCGTGCCTGTACTGGTACCTGCAGCAGCAGCAGCAGCAGAAGTCGTGGTGGTAGGAACAGAGGCTAGAGACGGCGGCAGCAGAGCCGAGCCATCTAGTCCGGCAACATGCGCCTGTGCCGCCTCTTGCACTGCCAGCAGCAGGAACAGGTGGCGCGACCGCTGCCACCTGTGCAGCGGCCATGTCAGCACGGTTGCCAGCATGGCGTCGCACACACTGCCACCCATACCCCCCCCTGCGGCTGTTACTGTTGAGAGTGAGCGAGCGTTGAGTGAGGCCGAGGGAGAGGAGGAGAGAGGGGAGGATATGGAGGCAGATGGGGAGGAGGAGAGGAGGGAAGATAGTAGTGGGGAGGAGGCAAGGGGAGATGACTGTAATGGGGAGGAGGAGAGAGGAGAAGACCTGGAGGGGGAGGCAGAGGGAGGTCGAGGAGAGGAGGAGGGGGGCAGCTGTGAGGGGGAGGAAGGTGAGGGGGAGTCAGAAGCTGAAGAATGGGGGAAGATGGAGGAAAGAGCGGGGGGGAGCCTGGAGTGCAGCTTTGAAGCAATCTCAAGCAGTGCAGAGAGGGAGGCGTCGAGGGAGTGGCGTTGCGAGGAGGAGGCGGTGGACGAGAGGTGCAGCAGCATGTGGAGGATGAAGGGAAGGAGGCGAGCGTTGCTCTCGCGCCCGCCCCCGTGGCAGTCGAGGCTGAAGCTGGCCCCCAGCACGAAGCGGCCCACCAGCGTGCGCAGGTCTCGGAGCAGGACGAGCAGGCGAGAGCCGTCCAGGTGGCCAAGAGAAGAGACGTTCTCCCACCAGGCGTCAAGACTGCGAGCATACACAGCTGGGGAGACCTGCGCGGCGTGAGTGGGGGGAAGAGAGCACGTTGCAAGGAGAAAAGAAGGTGCGTTAACAAGTGCAATGGAGAGCCGTCCACGTGGCCAAGGGAGGAGATGCTCTGCCACCATATTCAGTCTAGCGTTTACTTTTTAGGTTGGGAGAGGTACTGCGGCTCACAGACGCTCTCACCTGGGGCCCACGGAGTGGGAAGAGCGCGTTGCACAGAGTGCCTACTCAACGCGGCACCGCCCCACTCGCACTTGGGCGGTTCGAGAGAGGAGTCGGCGCGCTTGGCTCGGTCAAGACTAGACAGGGTCTAGAGTTCGGGTTTGGGAGGGTGAAGAGCTGCTGACAGGCAATGCTTACCTGGGGCCCACGGAGTGGGAAGAGCGCGTTGCACAGGGTGCCTCCGTTCCTCAACGCGGCACCATCCCACTCGCGCTTGGGTGGCTTGAGGGAGGAGTCGGCGCGCTTGGCCCGGTCGTGGCAGGAGAAGTGGATGGCGTTGAAGTGGGACACAGTGGACAGCGACCACTGCACCGCCACCCGGCTGGTGGTGGACGCTGTTTAGAGAACACGACGGGGATAAGGGGACAGCAACAGAGGAGAGACGAGCAAGTGGGAATGGTGGGTCGGTGCACTTGGAATGGTAGGAATGGGAGATGGCAAAAAGCTACCACTGCACCGCCACTCGGCTGGTGTGGTAGATGCTGTTTGGGAAGACAGGGAAAAAAGGAGGAGGAAAGGACGGGTGGGGTGGTGAGACAAGCCGTGCGCCTCAAAAATAGACAAGCCGTGGCAGGAGAAGTGGATGGCGTTGAATTGGAAGACAGTATAAAGAGACCACTGCACCGCCACTCGGCTGGTGGTAGAAGCTGTTTTGGGGGGCAGATTCTAAAGCCAGTAGCCCTCATGGCACACCATGCAGCGCAGAGAGCTACAGAGCTAAAAGACTTCACTCCAGGTGGAGAGGTCAGAGAGGCGTTTAGAAAAGGCGTAGGCCCCAAGCAGCTCGTTGGGGCGAAGCAGGTAGCCCTCGTGGCACACCATGCAGCGCAGGGACTTAATAACCGATACCTACTAGGAAGACTTACTTAGGTTCCAAGTCGAGATGTCGGAGAAGCGTTTGGAGAAGGTGTAGGGTATATGAGATTAAATCTCCTCCTGCCTATATTAGACGTCGATTGCTTAAATCTCCTCCTGCCTATACTAGACGTAGATTGCCTATATTAGACGTCGATTGCTTAAATCTCCTCCTGCCTATACTAGACGTAGATTGCCTGTATTAGTATTCTTCAGTTTTTTCCCCCGTGTGCAATGAGTCGACTAAAAAATCGACTCATTACACACGGACTATACTAGACGTAGATTGCCTATATTAGCGTTCTTCAGCTTTTCCCCAGAAGCTCGTTGGGGCGAAGCCGGTAGCCCTCGTGGCACACCGTGCAGCGCAGAGACCTAAAGAACTAAAAGACCTGCTAAGAACACTCACTTAAGCTCCAGGTGGAGAGGTCAGAGAAGCGTTTGGAGAAGGTGTAGGCACCAAGAAGCTCATTGGGGCGAAGCCGGTAGCCCTCGTGGCACACCATGCAGCGCAGAGTCCTAAAGAACTAAAAGACCTGCTAAGAACACTCACTTAAGCTCCAGGTGGAGAGGTCAGAGAAGCGTTTGGAGAAGGTGTAGGCACCAAGAAGCTCATTGGGGCGAAGCCGGTAGCCCTCGTGGCACACCATGCAGCGCAAGGCGCGCATGGCCGGGGGGAGAGCGACGGACAGGGAAGCAGCAATGGAGGATGGAGCAGCACCCGAGGCACTGGCATCACCAACCACCTCCTCATACTCCCCAAACTCCTCGTCCTCCTCTTCCACTCCCTCTTTGCCCTCCTCCTCCTCTCCCTCCTCTGCTTTGTCTGCGCATACTGGAGTGGTGCCTGCACTGGCTGCGCCTTCCCCAGATACTGACGGCTTTGCTGATGTCAGCACAATGCGGTGGGCCCCGGTAGGTGCCAGCTGGGATTTGACCCCCATGCTCTGAAATTGCGGTGGCAACGAAGGGGGGAGAGGCGGGAGAAGGGGGGAGAGGCGGGAGAAGGGGGGAGAGGCGGGAGAAGGGGGGAGAGGCGGGAGAAGGGGGGAGAGGCGGGAGAAGGGGGGAGAGGGGGGAGAAGGGGGGAGAGGGGGGAGAAGGGGGGAGAGGGGGGAGAAGGGGGGAGAAGGGGGGAGAGGGGGGAGAAGGGGGGACCCGAAGGGGGGAGAAGAGGGGGGATTGATGAGGAAGAAAGGAGTGAGATTCCTTGGATTGGGATTCCTACCCCACACTCACTCACACCCTCACCCTCACCCTCACCTTCATCAGCTCCATCCGTCGCCGCATCGCCTTCTCTCGCCTCCTCTCCTTGGCACCGGCCCTCAGCGCAGCCACCGCCTGCCACACCTCCTCATCCATGCCCACCTCACCGCCTCTCCCCACCTCCCCGACTCCCTGCTCCGTCCCCTTCCACTCCCCTCCTGCCCCTGCCCCTGCCCCTGCCCCTGCCCCTGCCCCTGCCCCTGCCCCTGCCCCTGCCCCTGCCCCTGCCCCTGCCCCTGCCCCACCTCCCGCACTTCCCTCGCCCCCCTCTCCCCCCTCCTCCCCCCCACCCAGCACTTCCAGCAGCGCTTCAGCCCTCGCTCCCAGACCATCATTCCCCACAACCCCTTCCAGCAGCAGCAGCAGTGGCAATACTCCCTTCTCCCCAACCAGAACCCCCTTTTCCCCGCCCAGCTCGCCCTCCTCTCCACCCAGCACGCCCTCCTCCCCACCCGCGTGCAGCAGAACTCGTTGCGTTGGGGGGTGGCCGTGGCACAGCCCGAGCAGCAGCCCAAGGATGAGAGGCAGCGACGGGAGGGTGAGGGCGCGTTGCCAGGAGGGCAGGGCACGCAGGTCAGAGAGGTCGGAGGAGGGGGAGAGGGCGGAGGGGGGGAAGGACGCGAGCAGATGGCGCACAGCAGCTGGGGGAAGGGGAAGGGGAGGGGGAGGGATGAGTGAGAGAAGACTAGAGGAAATGCGAAGGGGAAGGGGTTGGAGGGAAAAAATTTGCAGCAATTGCCTAAAGGGACCACCCACACACTCACCTTGCAAGATGCCCCTCGCAAGAGCCAGAGGTCGTAATTAAACTCCAGTGCTGTCGAACCTCATAGCTATAGCCCTGGACGAAGCACCGGCTGTAGCCCCGGCCAGGCGTTCAGAATGCCCTGGCATCAACAGTGCTCACCTTGCGGAATGCCCCTCTCCAGGATCAGAGCGCGCAGCCGTAACCCACTGCCGTCCTGCCTGGTTTCCCCGGCCAGCCGCTTGATACGCCCTGCCATCCGCCACCAGTGTCCCATCTTCAACACGACCCACTCACCTTGCGGAATGCCCCTCTCCAGGATCAGAGCACGCAGCTTTAACCCACTGCCATCCTGCCTGATCGCTCCGGCCAGCCGCTCGAAGTGCCCCGCCATCTGCCACCAGTGCACCGCCTGCCTCCGCCTCTCCTCACACGCCTCCTCAGTCCCCTCCTCCTTCTCCCCTTCCTCACGACCACTTTCCTCCCCGCCTTGTTCCTCCCTCCTACCCTCCCTCCCACCTTCTCCAGACCCGTGCTCATGCGCCAACCCCTCCTCCTCCTCCTGCCTCCCCCTTCTCTGCCGCCCTACCAGCCGGTCGAACCCCCGCCAGTCCAGCAGCAGGAGGCGGAAATGGTCTACTAGCACCTCCATGGCTCTGCCCTCCCCATACGTCATATACGGCAGTATCCGCACCACACTCTCCGAAAAATCCCGCTTCTTCTTCCTCCCTCCCCCACCTCCCCCCCCTCCTGCCCCTCCTCCCGCCCCTCCCGCCCCTCCTGGCACACCTCCTCTTGCAGATGCTTGTGAGCCGGATACGCCTGCCCCAGATAAGCCCGCCCCAGTAGCAGCCTGGGAGAGCGATGCCGCAGTGAGCTTCTCTAGAAACAACCTCACTGCCTCTTCTCCCCGCCCCGCTGCTACATGGTTCTTCTCATCCCCTGCTTCTCCCATGCTTATTCTTTCCTCTGCTGTGCCCACCCCAGCCTCACCCCCCAAGCCACCACCCTCCACCATCAACAGATCCACAATCCGAAGCAGGGCATCAGCTGCGGCCTCCGCCGAACCTGCCAGCGCGGCCTGGGAAGCAGCAGCAGCACCTGCCGTCGCGCCTGGCCCTGAGCCTCCGGCCGGGGCTGACGTGGCAACACCATGCGCGTAAAGAGCCGCACGCGTGGCGCGGTCGAGCAGACGTGGCAGCGCGTGGGCACGCAGCAGATGCAGGCGATTGGTCCGCAGGAGACACGCGGTGTGCAGCAGCTTCAAGAGGTCACCCACGTCCTCCTCCCCACTTGCTAGCTCCTCATCTGCTGTTTCCTCCAGCACCCTCAGCAGCAACAGCAGGCCGTCTGGACTGACCTCAGCGCGACTTCTCCCTCCTCCACTGCGGCTCCTCACGTCTCTTGACCCTCGTCCACCTGCTGCACTTGGCTCCTCATCCCCCCCCTCGTCACCACCATCACCATCAGGCACAGCAGGCACAGCTGGCACAGCTGGCACAGCTGGCGCGAGTGCAGCAGCAACAGCGAATTCCTTCTCAGGGTCAGCTGCCTCCTCCCCCCCCTCCTCCAGCTCCTTCACTATTGGCTCCGTGGCCTCGCCATCTAGGCCCTGGTGGGTGTGGTCGGGCGATGGGGACAGCATGGCAAGGGGGAGGAGAGGGGTGGGAGATTACTCTAGAGGCGCCTAAGAAAAGCACTCACCTGTAACCAGAAGGTTACGCTCATCGCCCCCCTCTGCCGGCACTCTGGCTCGTACACGGGGCGCGCGCACAGACAGCCCCAAGAAGGGCTTTGAGAACCTACTACCTCAGCAGCACACTACGACCTGCAATGCAACCAGGACGTGACGCTCGTCGCCCCCGTCTGCCGCCACTCTGGCTCGAACACGGAGCGCACAGACAGCCCCAAGGAGGGCTTTGAGACACTGCTACCCGAGGTGACTTTTGAGTCGACTCAAAAGTCACCTCGCACACTACGCACCTGCAATGCAATGCAACTAGGAGGTGATGCTCGTCGCCCCCCTCTGCTGCTCGTATGCAGCTAGCATCGACAGACCCAGGGAGGGAGATGCCCCACCCAACCCACTTCCCTAGCAGCACATTACGCACCTGCAACCGGAAGGTTACGCTCATCGCCCCCCTCTGTCTCCACACTTGCTCGTACACGGCGCGCACAGACAGCCCCAGGGAGCAGATCTGCCCTGCCACCAGCAGCTCCATGCCATAGTCGTCGTCCATCAGCCCGTGCAGCTCCAGCTCCTTGCAGATGAGGTTCTTGACATCGCGCATCAAAGGGCCCACCTGTGGAGGGGGTGAGGGTTGAGGGTTTAGGGTTTAGGGTGAGGACGTACAGGAAAGGGAAGAGAATGATGGAATATGGGGGGAAAGAGGGTGGTCAACTTCGTTACCCCCACCACCACCACCGGCTCCATGCCATAGTCGTTACCCATGAGCCCCTGCAGCTCCACCACCTTGCACATCAGGTTCTTGACGTCGCGCATGAGAGGGCCAACCTGCAGTGCGTGTGGCAAGGGGGAGAGCGGGGAGAGGGGGAGAAGGAGGAGCGGGGGGTGGGGACGTCAGCTTCAGTAGCGCGCCCAGCAGCTCCATGCCCTAGTTGCCATCCCTCAACCCGTGCAGCTCCAGCTCCTTGCATATCAGGTTCTTCACGTCGCGCCCGAGAGGATCAACCTGCGGTAGCACACAATAGCACACATTTGGTAACCGATGGGGGAAACATGGTGGGTTGGAGAAGATACACGCAGCAGCGGCAGAAGAGAGAAGGGTACCTGTAACGACAGGTGTACTTGAGTCGACTCAAATGCACCTGTAACAGACGGCGCACCTGCTTGAAGTTTGGCAGCGGTGCTTAGAAACGTTTAAAAACACTCGAACAGACAGCGTACCTGTTTAGTGGAGTACGGGTTGTGCTGCAGCCGCCCTGGCAGGAACTCCTCCTGCGTGGCTGCTTTGATGAGCACCATCTCATATTCGGGCTCAGGGCGAGTGGGGCAGATGGTGTTGCACAGGTGGCGCAGAGTGAACTGCAGGAGGGGAGGGGGGGGGGGAGTTTTGGGAGGGAGCGATCATGCTGCTGCTTTGATCAGCACCAGCTCGTATTCGGGCTCGGGGCGCTTGGGACAGATGGTGTTGCACAGGGTGAACTGGGGGAGGGGAAGGGGTGAACAAGATATTGGGGGGGTGGGGGGGGGGGGAGAGGAGGGGGGGGAAGGGAGGGGGAGGGGGGAGGGGACAGGGGGGCCGAGAGAAGTGCAATTTTGGGGGGAATGGGTTGAGTTGCTGCTTTGATTTGATCACCACCATCTCATATTCGGGCTCGGGGCGCCTTGAGGCAGATGGTGTTGCACAGGTGGTGCAGAGTGAACGAAGCAAGGGGAACGGGGGAGAGAGTCAGAGGGAGAAGAGAGACAGCAGCAAGCATGCTAATGTCTTGTGAAAAGCAGCATGCAAGCAGCAGACAGCAACTCACGCCTATGGCCCACAACGTGTAATGAGTCTATTTTTTAGTCGACTCATTATGCACTTGTGAAAAGCAGCATGCAAGCAGCAGACAACTACTCACGCCTATGGCGAGAGGGTGGAGAGAGACAGCAGCGAGCACGCTTGCAGCTGTGAACAAAAAGCAGCATGCATGCAAGCAGCAAACAGAAAACAACAACTCACGCCTATGGCCCGCCACGCGTCGCAAGAAGCATCCGGCAAGCCCCCCTCCTCCATCGCCACCAGCCCCCCAAGCACCTCCACACACGCCGCCACAAACGCCCTCTTGTTCACCTCACACCTCTCCTCCTCAGGCTCCTTCCCCTCAGCGCCCTCCCTCTCAGTCCCCTCCCCCTGCGCCCCCTTCATGAGTGCCCTGTAGCAGGAGAGTGAGGCACTGCTGGCACTCCACCACCAGCTGCGACCTCGTCACCACCAGCCCCTGCAGCCCCACCAGCGCTCGCACTGCCAGCACCAGACACCTGCTCCCTGCTGCACCTTTCCTCCCGTCCCTGCTGCTGCTTCTGCTGCTGCTGCGGCTGCTGGTGGCACTGCCAGCGGCGCTGGCGCTGGTGACTCTGCTGCTGTGGTAACCAGAATCGGAGCTGGGGAGTCCAAGGAACAGGTGCTGCAGCTTGGGATGCTGCAGGGCCTGCTGCAGCAGCTGCACAGCTTGCAGGATGGGATAGGGTGCTGACATGGAGGCAGGGGCAGACGAACCCGCAGGAATGAGAGCAAACGAGGGCAATGCGGCCGAAAACGGAGAAAGAGGAGGGAGTGAGAGGAGAGGCGGAGGTGAAAGTAGTGAGCGAGAAGGAGGAGGGTGCAAGTAGCGGTGCCATGGCTCGGGACTCGTGCGCTTGCAGGTGGGCAACAGCACGGGAGATGAAAGTGGTGAGTGCGGGGAGGAGACCGCGTGCCGCTAGGAAGAGCAACGCCGAGTGCTGCAAGGACGGCTCGTCCAACGAGGGTTGGCTCGACGAGGGTCGGCTGGAAGAGGGTCGAGTTGAGGAGACAGCGGGAGTGGCAGAGGACGAATGGAGGGAGGAGGAGAAGCTTTCTTGAAAGGAAGGAAAATGAGAGAAGGGAAGAAAATGAGAAGATAGGCTCTGGGGTGTGGTTCCGCTTTGAGACAGCCTTTCAGTTGGTCTGGCGCAGTAGGTGGGGGGGGAGAGGAGAGGAGGCGGGAGAGGAGGGCGAAGAGCTCTGCTGAGGCTTCGCCTGCGTGGGTGGTTGCAGGGAGGAGGGAGAGCAGTGACTCCAGCACAGCGTGCTTGTATCGAGGGGCCACCCCTGCCAGCAACTCCAGCAGAAGGCATATCTCGGATCGGAGGCGGGCGGCGAGCGACAGCTGGCGATGAGATCTGCACTGAGAGAGATTCGATCGTCTGCCTGAGCAGAGGAGGCGTGCGCTTGAGTCCGGCCAAAACACCAGCTGCCAAACGATCGCACTAGCAGCTGAATCCTGCTGTCCACCGCGCTCCGCTCGCGCGTGCGATCGCGCCAGCGGACGGCAAACTTGCGAACTGTGGGTGGCAAAGCCCCATCTCCTGGGATGCTGGTACTTGCGTTTCCTAACATCACTGCATTCCCTGATATCCCATCACGCCCTTGGGCTTCCCCCACAGCTGCCCCTGAAGTCTCCCCAGCCTGTCTCTTTGGTGCCTCCAGAGTAGCGTGCTTGCAGGAGGAGGTGACTATTCGGAGGGTGGCAGCAGCACATGGTCCGATACAGAGGGGTGCACATGGGTGGTGGTGAGAGCAAGGAAGAAGAGGCGAGTGGCCAGCTGCAGACAGAGAAGCTTCCCCGAAGGAGACGACACGCCAGATGCGGACGTGGATTGAGTCGACTCAGAGGATGAGAAAGACAGGTCAGCAAGGAGCAGCAGCGGGTCCTTTACAGCTGGCGCCACGTCAGCAAGCAGATAGCCGGCCACCAGCAGCGGAGAACCTTGGTTCTATCAGCTCCAGCAGGTGGTGTAGGGCGTCTGGGGAGGTGAGTGCGAGGCGGGAGAGGAGGTGGCGGGTGCGGGAGCGGGAGGAGGGGGTCCAGAGAGGAGAGGAGGAGAAGAGGGTGGGGATAGCAGAGAGAGAGAGGAGGGCGGAGGGGGCAGCTGGGATGGGGAGGAGTGCCTGCAGGGGGGGAGGAAGGTAGGGGGGAGGAAGAAGCAGATGAGAAAAAGGAGCATTTAAGAACGGATCAGGTTATCTGCAACTGAATCACGCGGCTGTGTAACTCACTCTCATTCACCGCGTGTAACTACTAACTCCTTACCAGAAGCCTCTTAAGAGTAAAAGAAATCTGGAACTTGCAACACTGCAACTACATAAATCGATGCCTGACTTTCTCAGGCTCACTTCAAACCATGAGGCCTCACCTCAAGCCACTGCAGGCAGAGTCCCACGAAAGTGCTGCTACAGTCTAAACACACCCCTGCACCACTGCCATTGCTGCCGCCACTGCTGCTGCCGCCACTGCTGCTGCTGCTGCTGCTGTGTTCCAAGCTCTCCTGCTCATAACCCAAGCCCTGCCGCCGCCGCCCCTGCTGCTGCTGCTGCTGCTGCTGCTGCGGCTGCAGCTGTAGCTGCTGCTGCCGGCGGCGGTTTCTCCTCTGATACCCAACCAGCAGGTGGTATTCAGCCAGGGCCATCTGTAGCGCTCCCATCCTCTCTGCTGACCTGGCAAGCTTGCGGTGCACAGCGCGACACTTGTCAGCATACAGCGCGCCCAAGATCGCGATCCGACGGCTCACGTGCGCCTGAGCGGCTGCTGCTGTTGCTGCTGCGACAGAGGCAGAGGAGAGAGAAAGGCCACCTGTCGCATCACCAGCAGCACCACTTGCACCCACACCACCAGGAGTACCAGCACTGCCAGTACCACCAAGAGCAGCACCTGTGGTACCAATAGAGTTACCCAAACCAGCAGCAGAGAGGGGCGGGAAGGCTTCCAGCAGCTGCTGCAGAATCTCCTCGCTTGCTGCTGCTGCCGCTGCGGCTGATGCTGCTGCTGCTGCTGATGCTGCTGCTGTTCCTCCTGCTGCTCTCCCTGTCCCTGATGACGCTGCTGGTACGCCTGATGCCCCCAACCCTGCACTGGCTAGACTCGAACTGAACAGACCAGCACCGGAATCAGCACCAGAGCCAGCAGTCGCAGCAAGCATATCCTCAAACAGGTCGAAATCCAGAAGCCCACCTCCTCCGCCTCCTGCTCCTCCTCCCACCCCTGCAGGCCCCCCTCTTGCTCCTCGTCCCCCCCCAAGCCTACCTCCCAGCAGGGCTGACAGTAGGGACGATGCAGACCCCAGACCCGCGCCCCCTCTCCCTCCTCCCCTCCCCCTCCCCTCCCCACCACTCCCCCCCCCCTCTGCTGCTGCTGCCAGCTGCAGAAGGGAACTCAGACCACCCCCGCCGTCCAGCCCTGATCGACCCCCTACTGCCCGTTCTCTGCCTTGTATACTATTAAGTCCTCCTGCTCCTCCCCTGGCCCCTCCGCCTGCTCCTCCCCCTCTTGACCCTGCTGCTGTTGCTGCTGGAGCCGGGTCATGATCCAGCCAGTTAGCTGCAGCCACGTCAGCAGCTGAGTCATCATCCAGGATGGACGAAACCAGGCGTGCGATTGGCCGGCGCAGCGCCTGCAGCTGCTGACGGAGCCGGGTGGCTGACTCAGCCTCGGCCTCCAGCGCTGCAGCGACCTTCCTGGAAGCTTCGTCAGAGAGGATCTGGTCGATGGAGGAGGGGCAAGGGTGCGCCTGCAGAGTGAACTCGAAACGGCCATACCTAGAGAGGGGGGAATGGGAGAAGCGGGTGCGGGGATGGGAGAATGGGGGAAGCGGGTGCGGGGGGAATGGGAGAATGGGGGGTGGGGAGGGGAAGGGGGGGAAGGCGGGGCGGTGGGTGGGTGTGTGGCATGTGCAACTGGGGCAGTCGGTGTGCCTGCAGAGTGAACTCGAAACGGCCGTACCTGGTGGAGGGGAATTCGGGTAGGGGTTGGCAGCGGGAGAAGGGAATTCGAGGTGCCTTACATGGGGTCGGGGTTGGCAGTGAAGCAGAACGTTCCTGGTGAGGCAGGATGGGGGTTAAGGTTTTTGGTTCTATGCCTTACGCCACATATGGGAAACGGTGGCGGCTTCACAAGGTATTCATGCGAGGGCAACTGGTTACCACCACACGGTTACACACACGCGCGTGCGTGTGCGCTTCTCTCACCTGCAGTGGCCGCACTGCGCGCAGAGGAAGGCGCCGAGGTTGTCGTAGTTGATGGCGCGGCACTGGCGGCACTGGAAGGCGTTCTCATGGCACACCACACACATGCCGTGCCGGCTGGTTACCACACGGTTACACCGTGGACACTGCAGCGACTCTCGAGATGATGACGACGACGTGGAATGGTTCTGATGGGGAAAAAAGGCCAAGAGAGGGCGAATGGGGGGGAGGAGGGGGAGGGGGAAGTGGGGGTTTAGCAAACAGTGGAGAAAAGGAGGGTGCTCTCAAGGGACGAAGAGGAAAGGAGGGCGTAAATTGCCCCAACATCACAACAAAAAGCGCAGAGAAATAGGGAGAGGCACTGGGCAGGTTGTAGGCAAGAGAAAGGAGAGCGAAATACCCAGTTCTTACCTCATGGAATGACGCAAACTCCACCACAATGAAGCGCAGCGCAACAGGGAGGGGCAGCTCCACTCGGATCTCGGGCTGGTCGGCCGCCAGCTGGCAGCGAGCGATCGGGCGGCAGAGCTCGTCTGTAGCGGTCTTGATCTGCTGCAGGTCGCAGGCGGCACTGTTGCTCCCCAGCAGGCGAAGGTCCTTGACAGAGCGGCCCCTCCTTGAGTCGTGCACCGCCATGGTGAAACCCTGACGTATAAGGGGTGGGTGGGTGGGTGGGTGGGTGGGTGTGTGGGTGGGTGGGAGGGTGGGTGGTGTGTGGTGTGTGGGTGGGTGGGTGTGTGATTAAAAGCCGGTTAAAGTTGAGGATTGCTCCCCAGCAGGCGAAGTGACCCGGCCTTCGCTTGACTACTGCTCGCGTTGAAAATTTGTGGCTCTGTGAGGTGCCTCTCTCACCTTGATGAGGTGTGGCTCCGACAGGCGAACGAAGATGCGGCAGTCTGAGAAGCGCACCTCCTGCCGCACACTCTCCATCCTCACACTCCCACACACTGCCTCGGGGTACGCACACACTGCGCACGGCTCCCCATCCGCCAACCCCCACACTGACGCCCCCACTACCTTCTTCCCACCACTGCCAGCACCAGCAGCACCACCACCACCACCACCGGCACCAGCAGCCGCCGCCACAGCAGCAGAAGCACCGGCAGCACCAGTCCCATCCTCTTCTGCACCCAGCAACTTATGCAACGCGGAGTTGAGAGAGGCACTGGGGTGGTTGGCCACTGCACGACTCTGCTGCGACAGCTGCACCAGTAGCGTGGTAGCGGCTTGCGACACCAGCTCAGCAGTGCCAGCTGGTTGCTGACTGGACGCCAGGTCAGCAAGGAGAGAGAGAGAGGAGTTGGGAGAAGCTGAGGGCCCGAGAGCCGAGGGACGGCGTGTGGGGGAGGATGGAGAGGAGGGAGGAGAGGATGGAGTGGCGGAGAGAGGGGGAGGCGTGGTGCCACACTCCCTGCA